TGAGAGAGAGGGGAGAGAGAGAGAGAGAGAGACATTGATCCGTTGCTTCTGGTACACACCCTGACCAGGGATTGAACCCACAACCTAGGTATGTGCCCTGACAGGAATCAAACCCACAACCTTTTGGTGTATGGGATGACACTCCAACCAACTGAGCTACCTGGCCAGAGCATTTGTCATAATATTTAAAAAAATAAATAAATATATATATAGATAGATAGATAGATAGATATAGATATAGATATAGATATAGATTTCAGAGAGAAGGAAAGGGAGAGAGAGAATTAGAAACATCAGTGATGAGAGAGAATCATTGATTGGCTGCCTCCTGCACACCCCACACTGGGGATTGAGCCCACAACCCGGGCATGTACCCTTGACTGGAATTGAACCTGGGACCCTTCAATCTGCAGGCCAGTGCTCTATCCACCGAGCTAAAGCAGCTAAGGCTTGTCATAATCTTTTAAGTCAGCTAGTCCCTGAGCTTCACCAGGGCTGGGGCCAAGTCCATCTTGTTTGCAGCTGTATTCCCAATACCAGGCATGGCATCTGACACACAGGATGCACAAACGTCGGAATGAATGGTAGACGGACACAGTGACAATAGCAGCTAACATTTATTAAAGTGCTTATTCTTACAAGAGCCCAGTGAGTTAGGACAAATTCCTATCCCGTTTACCGACATTGAAAACGAAGCTGAGAGAAATCAAGGTGCTCACGTAAGGTCAGTGGCAGCGCCTACGGGGAAGAGCACAGCAAATGCCGATGGGCGGAATGACTGGGGAGAGGCAGCGGGTGCCGCAGACGTCAGCCTGAGATGTGCACGTTGAGAACCAGCTCTGTTTGCTCACTCATTCATTCATTCATTCTTTTTTTTGTTTTGTTCAGTAATTATTCAACTTCAGCGCCTGTGCTGGGTATTGGTAGGTACAAGCAACCAGGCAATCATGATATTGTGTAGTCAGAGCTGGGATGGGAAAGGCCCAGAGGTCTGTGGGCAACCACGGAAGTCCCTGAACCAAACTGACCGGTCAGGAAGCCTTTCTGAGTGAGGTGGACCTGGAACAGCAGGTTTGTGTGGCCAGGCAGACTACGGGGGGAGATGCTTTGAGATGGGCGGAGGCAATGGCTGCACAAGTCCACGATGGAGGTGGCACCAGTGTCTGGCAGTGAAAACCAGCCCTCTGCAAGGCTGCAGGGCCTCCTCCCAGCCTTTGGTGGGCAGGCCTCTGTGGGTGACTGAGTCACACTGCCCTGCCCCAGGCCTGGAACTCTGCCACACCTCAGGCCAGGTTGGGACATTCTCACTTCTGAGTTGCAGGCATTCCTGTTCCCCTGGGCCCAGAGTGGGAGCTCAGTGAAAAGGAGGCGATTTGGGCCAACCCAAAGGCCAGGTGCCCCTCTCTGCCTGTGACCCTGAGCCTGTTCCCTTCTGTGGTCCTCCGTTTGTTCATCTGTAACAGGCCGTTTAAACTATAAACTCCCTGCAGACCCTTCATCACTTACCTCTTGTGACCCAGAATGTTACTGTCAGTATTGGAAGTAGACATGAGCCCTTTTTGCTTCAATCCCAGCCTCACTTGGACATCAGGACTAAAGTTTAAAAAATATATTTCCGGGGGCTCCACTGAATGATTAATGCGACAAACTACTACGTACGTCCTTTTGGCAGGTTTCTGGTATGGGAAGGCGGAACCATTGACCTCTAGGATCATGACTGCCCACCCCACCCCCATGCTGGGCATTGTGAGAAACCTTCTACCCAGCATGCTCTGGGGCAGGGCCCCTGCTAGAGGATGCCACTGAACAGGCCAGAGGTCCAGGGATCTGTTTCCATAGAAGTGGGGATGGGCTGCAGCAGGCGTCTGACTCCTTGGCTCAGCCACCTCCACTTAGGGCAAGAGGTTGAGATGTGGCTGGTGTAGAGTGAGCTGATACATGGGAGGAGAAACCAAAGCCTCTGACCTGTAAGACCCTTAATCATAGACTTGGGCTATAGCTGCCCTCCACTTCTCAATCCCCCTCTGCTCCTCAGTGTCTCCCCTATTCAAAACTCACCAATGGCTTCCCTTCACATCTAGAATGCAATCCAAAGTTTTCCCCATGGTTTCCTGTCTTCCCACCCCGCCTCACCCACCTCACTGTAGTCACACTGGCCTCCTTTTGGCTTCTAGAAAATGCCAATCTCTTTCCCACCTCAGGGCCTTTGCACATGCTGTTCCCCCTGCCTGGAATGCTCTTCCCTCATAACAGCATATTTGGCTCCTCAAATCTACCTCCTCAGAGGGGTCTTTCCTCATTCCCACCCATTTTTTGTTTTCACAGCTCCCCATTTCCCTCATGGCCCTTTCCCCAAGCTGTAATCATTGATAGTTGCTTTGCTCAATGAATGGCCTCCCCCCCCACACACACACACATCAGTAAATTCCAAGGGGGCAAGGACCTTGGTATCCCATGGCTATCTCCCCAGTACCTGGTGCATAATGGCTGCTCAAGAAATGTTTGTTGCATGAATGAAACATGAAAAGTCTCAACAATGCTCATCTTCTTCCTTGAATTCGTTGTAGTCTCTATGAAGGAGAAAATGGCACTTATTGGTTACCTGTTATATACCAGGCTCTCTCACATTTTATTCTGCTGAACTTTTACATCCATGACACTCTGTCCATTGTACAGACAATGAAGTTGGGGTTCAGTGGCCTGTCTGAGGTCACAGAGCAAAGGGTGGACTGATGGGTTAATTCAGTTAGGAGGCAGCCAGTGGGTGTGAAGGGCATGAAGAATGCCATGGCCTATAACAGTGGTCAGGATGTAATCCCAAGTCTGTTTGACTCTCCCCAAAGCCTATGCCCTCTTCACTATACCACACCTCTGCCACACCAGAGCACAGCCCAAGATTGACAACCGGGTTTTTAGATTCTGAAAGGCAGAGTAAGGCCCAGACATTACATGGAGAGGCTGTCTGGCTCAATGTGGGTCTTGGAACTGGACAAAGAGACGTGGTCTCAAAGGGGGACCCTACCCCCTAGGCACCAGGGCACCCTTGCTGAAAGTGATCGTTAGCATTGCTGGACTGAAGGAAGTCAGCTGTGGAGATGTTAAGGGGTATATTGGAAAAGTCAGGGCATGGGTTTCCAAATCACACAGGAGCCCCTGCACCCCTGGAGCTGGGTGGCCTTTGGGTAGTGCCTTCCCCGCTCTGAGCCCCAGTGGTCATCTCTGAAAAACATGCATGCCAGTATGGAACCAAAAAGAGCTCTTAGGAAGATAAAGAGGAAAATGACTGTGGGGTTGTTGGTATATATATAAAGTAACATGGAAATGTAAATTATCTAAAATTAAGTCAATGTGAAATGCAGAGAGAGATTGGGACTTGGACAACCTCTCGGGTTCTTTCGGCATTTATTGGCACCTACTGTGTGCCAGGTGTTGTGCTAGGGCCTAGGGTACAGAGATGAGTCAGACATGGGTCCTGAGCTCCCTGTCTGGGGAAGGGAGCTGGGCACATACAGTGTTGGGATTCTTCCCAGCAGGATGGCAGGGGGAGACTTCTTGTTTGATGTGGTAGCAAAAGCTAGAGATAGACCTGAACTGAAACCTTCCCCTCCTCCCCGAATGACCTTGAGCAGGTCAGGCCACCACTCCAACGCCCTAGGCCTCTATCTGTAAAAATAGGTCTGTCCCTTTGCCTCTCAGAGTTGCCAGGACATGGCACACTGTAGGTACCAGGGTGGGGGACCTTGGGATGGGGGTAGCCAGTAGTTCCGAGGCAGAAAATGGTCCTGCACTGGCCCAAATCTGGGCCTCAGGCTTGAGTGGTGACTTGCAGGAGAAGCCTGGGAATGTGTGGGCTAGACCCCAGGGAACAGCAGGAAGAGAAACACAGCGATTCCTCATGACCTGTTAAGAAAGGAGGGCAGAAATTCTGGGGAATTGGCCTGTACCTTTATTTATGTTGGTAATTTCATTAAGGAGGAGGGGGCTGGCTCTACTCAAGCTCAGCCCTGCCCAGGGAGGAGGGGAATGGCAGGCCACCTGAATTTACTCAGCAAGAGATTCTAGGCCAGGGTGCACCCACGAAGACAGGTTATTTCAGGCTGAATTTATGGGTGTGCTGAGTGTCCCCTAAAGCCTTGGTGGGGTTGGACGGCGTGAGGCCGTGTTGAGACTTCCTTGGGGCCTGGGGCTGTCCCACAGCAGTGGGAATGGCAGAAGCAAGGTTAGCCAAACTTTGGGGAATTTGGGGTAAGGCTGAAGGGAGGAAGTTGGGGGGCCCCAAGGGCGGCGGTTAGGGGTTCCCCTGGGGAACACTGCTCTTCTGGCTCTGGGCTCAGAACCAGAGAGGTCAGACCAGTTGCAGGGAGGGAAGGGGCCCTGCCCTGTACTGCCAGTGCCTGGCTAAAATCAGCCGGGGCCGCCCACTAGGGGAGGCTGGGACGCTAGTGGCCGGGCGGGGTCTGTGCCCTACTCCCTGTGAGACCGCAGGTCCAGACAGAGTGTGGCCTGGGAGGCTTGGGCCCGGCCCGGTCAGAGGAAACTCAGTCCCTGGGCTGAGCACTGTGCGCCTGCGGCTCCTGTCCTCTCTGTGGCTGCGGGCGCGGCAGCCCCCGCGCCCCCAGGGGCCGGGCCAGGGCGGAGGCTGGGCCCCGCGGGCGGGCGCGGGAGGGGGTGGGGGGGACGGCGGCGAGGGCTGCGACGCTCTAACAGGTGGGATCCCGCGGCGTGGTGGAGGCGGGCGCGGGAGGAGGAGGAGGAGGAGGAAGAGAAGGAGGAGGAGGAGGAGGAGGAGGAGGAAGAGCAGCGGCAGCGGGAGCCTGAGCAAGAGCAGGATGAGCCGCGCGAACTGACAGCCGCCGCCGCTGCCGCCGCCGCCGCCGCCGCCCGCGCCTAGGCTCGGTCTCGCTCCCCGCGCCCCGGGCCGCTCCCCGCCTCCCGCCTCCCCCGGCCGCCCGCCGGGCGGCCCGCCCCCTCTGCACCTCCGGGCCCCGAGCTGCCTCCATCGCTCCTGCATCCCGGCCGGGGGGAGGAGGAGGCGGAGCAGGAGGCGAGCCGGAGCCGCCGCCGCCAACGCCGCCGCCGCCCGAGCAGGACAGAGCGCGTTGCAGCCCCGTGCGTCCGGCCGCCGCCCGTGCCCATCAAGCAGCCGCGCCGGAGCCACACCGCGGGACAGCACCGGTCGCGGCGCGCCCCGGCCCGGCCCGGCCCAGCCCAGCCCAGCCCAGTCCCGGCACCGGGCGGCCAGGCGGCCGGCCCGCCCCCGAGGGCGCCGGGCGCGGCGGGAGGATGCCGAAGCCGACGCTGCTGCTGCGCGGGGGCTGGGAGCGCGAGCGCAGTCCCGGGGACTCAGAGCTGGGCCGCCAGTTCCGGGACTGGTGCCTGCGCACCTACGGCGACTCGGCCAAAACCAAGACGGTGACACGCAGCAAATACCAGCGGATCACCGAGGTCCTGCAGGGCGGCGGCGGGACCGGCGCGGGCAATGGCCCGGCGGCCGGCGAGAAAGGCAAGTTCCAGTTCTGGGTGCGCTCCAAGGGCTTCCGCCTGGGCAGCGGCCGGGAACCCAAGATGGGCCAAGTGGTGTATGTGCCGGTCAAGACGGGCTCGGTGAGTGCGCGCGCGGCGGCCGCGGGCCGGTCCCGCCGCGGGGCTCCGGGTGGGCGGGGGCGGGGTGTGGGTGTGGATGTGTGTCCGAACCTGTGTCCCTGAGGCTTTCCGTGGGTCTGGCCCGTCCGAGACGCACGCTTCCCTGCTCACCCGCCCGCCCCGGCCCGCCCAGGCAGCGCTCCGGGTTCGGGTTGTCCCTGCCCCCCTCTGCGCCGCTGCCCGGCCCGTGGTCTTGCGGAGCGGGCCGTCCCGGGCTGCTCACCCCAGTGTGTTCCGTCCTCCCGTCCCCTCCCCCCGCCAGCAGGCGGCTTCTCCGAAGCCCGAATTCCCCCCCACCCCACCACTGCCCGCCCCGGGGCTGCCTGTCCCGGGCGCCTCGCGCTCCCGCCCCCGGGCCGGCTGGGCGGTGTGTGTGTGCGTGTGCGCGTGTGTGTGTGTGTGTGGAGGGTGGTGCCGCGGGCGGGGGGCAGGGGCAGCCACGGGACGGGGAGTCCACTCGCCTTCCCATGGCCCGGGGAGGGGGCTCGCCCGGGCACTGTCTTCCCGACCCCGCCCGGGGTTGGCCCGGGGAGGGGCAGCCCGAGCCGCAGCCTGGCGCAGGAGCAGCCTCCCGCGGGTGGGTGGGGCGCCCCCTCCGCCCCCCGGGCCCCTAGCTTTCCCCCTCCCTGGGACGGGGGCGGCCTGACCTATCCATCCCTTCCCCTCCCCCGTCCCTGGGGCAGCCCGGTCCGGGCGGGGTGGCGTGGGGGAGGGGGCGGGGAACCGCAGCCTCTGCGAGGGAGGGAGGCGGGCGGCCGGGCGGGGGCGTCCCCTCCGGCCCGGGGCGCCCTGGAGAGGGCGTGCGGCGCGGGCCCCGCGGCTCCCCCGCCGGGACCTCATTGTTCTGCCGCGGGTGGGGGCTTGGGGGGGGGGTCGGTTGCTCCCGGGGCGCTGCTGAGCTTTGAACTTTCCGTCGCGGAGACCCTCCGTTAGTGCGTTCAGCCCCCGGCCCTCCCGGGCCGGGCCGGCCTCCCTCCCTGCCCCCCTCACTCCCTCCCTGGCCTCGCCCGGCCCGAGTGAGCGAGCGGGGCCACCCCGCGCCGGCCTCCCTCCCTCGCTCGCTCTCCCGCTCCCCCCTCCGCGCTCCTCCCCCGTCCGGCCCGCCCGCCCGCCCCGCGCTCAGCCCGGTCCCCGGCCAGAGCGGGCTCTTCACACACAATTGATTCGGTCGTTACGAAAAGTGCACTTGTCCCCTCCCCCTCCCCCTCCCCCTCCTGCGGCCGCCCGGGCCCGGCCCGCGGGGTGAGGGGGCCGCGAGGGAGGGAGGCGGGAGCCAGGGAGCGGATCCGGAGGCGCCTCCCCCCCGCGCCTAGGGGACGGGGCTGCAGGCCGCGGGGAGTGGGGAGCCGTGAGCGCGGAGGGCGGGCGGCCCATCTGCGAGGAGCGCTGATAACCGCGCGGCTGCCGCTGCGGCCGCCAGCAGCCCATCTGCGCCGCTGCCGCCTCGGGCCGGACCCAGAGCAGAGGGCCGGGCCGACCACGGCCGATCCTCGCTCGAAGGGGAAGGCTGGGGCAGTGTCCCACCTCCCTGGAGTCAGGGACCCCTTCGACCTAAATCAGTGCTCTCCCCAAAACGGGGAGTCTGGGTCATTGCCCCCTCCCCGATCGAGTCAGGCATCCCGCCCCCAGCCCAAATCAGTGCCCACTTTCCCGCAGGGGGACCATGGGCTATTGCCGCTCCCAGCCTAGGTTGGCCCTCCCAACCCTAACAGTTCTTACCCCTCCTCGGTTCTCCCCCACCTCGGGCTGGTGTCCCCAGCCTAAGTGTGGGTTTTGGAGGTCAGGGACCCACCAGATGGTTGGCTGGGTCTGGGCCCCCCACCCTGGGTCATTGCCCTGAGCCATCCAGGCTTCCCAAACCAGTTAGTGCCCCCCCCCCCCACCCCCCCCCCCTTATCAGGGTTATTCCTCCTTAGGGAGCTGGAAGTCTTGGCCCAATCTCCTTCTTAGTCTGAGGCAGGAGCCCCCACTCCTGGAGTTGTGGGGCAGGTGACCCTCAGACTTGGCAGCTGGTTCACTGGTTCTCTGTGTGGGTTGACCTCTTCTCTAGGGAGTGGCCATCATGGGGCAGTCCCCTTAACCCCTTAGCCAAACAGCTGTCAAGGTGGAGCAAGAACACACTCGCCCATGCAGGCCACATACAGAAATTGGGTGCTAGGTCTGGGCCCGGGTTCTGCCAGCCCAGCCAGTCTTTTCATAACCTTCAAGAGGCCCACACTGACCCGCCCTGGCAGCACGGGCCTCAAAAGCCTCCGCCTGGCTTCCAGACCAATAATAAGCCTTCCCCAAGGGACCCCCTGCTTGGGAGGCAGAGAAGGGGACCCAGGCCTCCCTGACCAGGCTGCCAGGAAGACGACAAACACAAGAGACATGCCCTCCTGTGACAGCCTGCCCCTCGAGCTCCCCACGCCCTCCTGCCTGGCCTGCTGGTCCCCAGAGAGCCTGTTAGTTACCTGCCACCTGCCCAGCCAACCGGAGCCAGACACAGGAGATGCCCCTAGTCTTGCCACCCCCATCTTCAAGCACCATCCTGGTGCTCAGTTATTATTTTTACATTTCTGTTTTCCTTTTCACTGATCTAAGAGGAAAGAATCCTGCTGGGAATTCAGCAACCATGGCCTCTTCCTGGGAGGGGTTGAATGGGACCTTCTTTGACAGGTACAAAGGAGGACCCCCCCCTTCACTTGCCTACACACACACACACACACACACATACACTCACACACACACTCTTAAAGTTATCGTTGCCTCTGGTGGCAGTTGGGAGAGATCCTGTAGTTTTGTCCTGGGTGGGTTTTATGAAGGTCATTGGGCCATAAACCTTTGTCCAGGGCATTTGTTTAGCACCCACAGGCCTTGCGGGGAGTGCTGGGGCATTGGGATGGGTTGGTCCCTGTGCCTGCTCATGGGGCACCCAGCTGGTGGGGGAGGTGGGCAAAACTGAGGATATGATCAAGAAATCAGGCAGAAGAACATTTTCAGGGAGGAGGGGGTGTAGTGTAGGAGTTGGATCATCCAGCAGCTGAACAAGGTTCCCCGGCCTGGGCTCAGGTCCCAAGGGTGGCCATAGTGTGTTGTCTCTTTTCCATGCTGCTGCCCCCTCCATGGGCCCCCTTTCCTCCTCCCACAGCCATATGCGGTGCTGTGGTCGGGCCCTTCCCTGAGTCCCGGCCAGCAGCGGGTCGATGATCTGACACCACTTGTCCTGTCCCATCTGGCCCTGAGCTTTTTCTGGGTGTGTGTGACAAAGGCTTAATCTGTCCGGACCCGGCCGGGGGCTGAGAGGAGGGCAAGGGGAATTACACTCTGCCTGGGCCTCCTGCAGCTGGGGCCCCGTGGGGGGTGGGGCAGGGCGGGGGTCGAGCAGAAGCCTGGGCGTGGGGGGTGGGTGGAGAGGCAAGTTGGTCTTCAGTTTGCAGGTTGTCACAGGAAATAGAAGTAGAGGCGGAGGGCTGAGGGGAGGAGGGCGGAGTCCTCCGCGATGGGCAGGGGTGCTCAAGAGGATAAGATCTTTTTATGACAAGAGCCAGCCGGGCCTCCTGGCTGGGCAGAGCCTGGGTAGGATTTATTATTTCTTGTGTTTGGACTGCTCTGGCCTCCCTGGCTTGCCAAGCAGGGGAAGCAAACCCCTTGGAGGCAAGACCCTCTGATTCCGTTCCAGGGTCGGCCACAAAATGAACCCACCCCTTTCCTTTTCCTCTGGTCTCTTAGGGTGGGACTGTCCCCAGGGCCTGCAAGGGCCACAGGTTATGTCTGGGGTGGGGCCCTGGGCCATCTGTCAACTCCCTGGACCAGAGAGCCCCAGGGCTGCTTGGAGAAAAATGTTCTCAGCCCAACTCTACCATCTTCCAGATGGGAAAACTGAGGCCTCGAGAGAGGAAATTTCTGTTGATAGGGAGCCAGGACTGGAACACAGATCTCTGTGCTCCACTGAGGCTTCTCTGTGGCCCATCACGTGCCAGGATGCCTCCGTTGGAGCCCCGTTCCCCGAGGGGAAATGCTGGATCGCCAAACTCCACTCAACACCAGGCTCTTTGGAGCAGGACCCCAGGTGTTCTTCTGGCCAAATTGACTAATGGTGGTCTTTTCCCAGTTTGCAGACAACGTTCATTTAGTGGAGAGCATTTTCAGTCTTCAGTCTTTCTCCCCAGAGCTTTTGTGTAAACCTTTGGCACCTGCGGCCGCTGGTCTGGGCGGGAAATGGTCTCCGACTTAGCACAGTGTAATATGTGCCGTGACCTTCGGTCGAATACCTTAGTGTTTCCCGCTTTTCTTCAAATTATCACCATGGCGACCCTTTCTGAGTTACTGCTTGGTGCCTGTCACTGTGCTGAGAGGCCAAGACGCAGCGGCTTACTGAATTCTCACAGCAGCCCAGGCCAGTGCTGTTATTATTGCCATTCTTCAGATGAGTAAACTGAGGCCTAGGGAGGCTCAGAGCTTCCTTAAGGCCACTGCTGATGGGGGCAGGTCCTCCGCGCCGGTACTGCCCTCACATAGGTGCGTTCTGACCCTGTCTGAGGTGTCTTGCAGCCTGACCCAATTTGAAAACCTAGGTCCTTTACGACAAGCTTTCAGTTCATTGCACCTTAATCTGAACTAGTTGAGAAGAATCTCTCTGATCAACGTGTCCGTAATCTTACCTGGTGCGATTGGCTCTGTGTGAGGTGTCTGAGGGCTTTCCTGGGGTTCCCTAGGATGGGAATGGGTGAGAAGAAGGGAGGAGGCCTCTGCTGTCCTGGGTCCTGGGGGGCTTTGGGGAGAAGGTTGACAGTGGCATCTGGCAGGGCCCAATTTGGATTTCTCATGGCAGAAATGGGCTGTTTTGTTAATTAAGCCTCAGTTGCTCTGAATATGGTCTTGGGGACTCTGGGGCTTGGTATTTTGGATCGTGTGTGATGCTGGAGGATCAGGTTCTGCCTTCCTGGGACCTCCCTTCTGGGTCCTGGGTCAGACCTGGC